TGGAACACCGCATTCCTGAGTGGCAAGTCTAGATATTGGCCACTGAACTATGATCTGGAGAGCAATTGGTTTAAATTAGTCTCTTTAAGAAATTCCTCTGCGCGTATACGATATTTGTCAATATCTGAGATGGTCAAGAACACGTTCTGGTCGATTTGGCATGTAATTACAAAAAAGCATATTTCAGCATCAGATCTGGAGCAACAGCGACAAGTGAAAATTAGCCATGGTGCGCAGAATGTGCTCTATGATGCTATTGATCATCGCATCAACATTGAAATTTGGAGATCGTGTTCCTGGAGTAAGGTATAAAATGCCTTTTTCAGGCCCACCAGAATGCAAGCTGACTCAAAAGGGAGCAGAATATATTGGCAAAAAAAACAGAACCCTCTCAGGTAGTCCATGCGTACCATGGGTGCATAAGGAGTTCCTGAACTTGGATGAAATATATGCTGGCAGGAAGCGGGCATTTCCTGATTCCATCACGAATGAGCACAACTACTGTCGGAATCCGACTGGGAAATATGGGGGTCCCTGGTGCAGAGTTCTGGATCCAGTCGATTCTAAAAGGACATGGGAATACTGCGATGTGCATTTCTGTACAAAGACACATACGAAGATGACATGCGAGACAGATGGTCGTTGCGAATCCAGTGAGTCTTTTCCATGGATGCTAATCCTCCATTCCCATGAGGAATGTGAACAATGACACTTGATGACAATTACTGATCTAACCTACTCCATATGAAGGATATTTAACTATATAGAGGTATTCCAGCCCAAGTAATCAAATTTAAGGAACTTTCGTTACGCCTCCGAAAGAATTTGCGCATGGTGGTATCTATGACTTCAGAATAAAATTTAAATGTTGACCCTCTGGCTCTAACGGTTTTCGAGATATACGGCCCCGAACTTTGCCCCCCATGAAGAAAAGTAACATTTATGGTTGAAGCACTCTCCTTGGTACTAGTCGAGCCAGAAAAGCGTTTCTGAACTTTATTTAAAACTGTGGCAATTTAGAATCGCACTATTACATTCATTTCCTTTTTCGTTTGTTACAAATTGAGTTACATAATTTCACAAATTGTGAAAATTGCACGAGCTCTAGGATGCACGGTAACATTACGAGCTTTTGGTACATTGCAGACACAAGCAACTGCAATGTACAGTCGAACTCGGTTATAACGTCATCGAAGATAAAAACCGTCGTTACAACCGAGGTTCGTTATAACCGAGGTTGCCTTTATTGGCACTCCGTTTTCTTGTTTTCAAAATTGATGCTATATAACGTTACAACTCCTGTTCATATTGGTCCTACTACACTAGCTTCAGTTTCAAGATTGATCCACTGATCGTGATTATTGCACTTCTTTGAACCTTGAACTACTTTATATTTTAGCAAGGCCTCGTCGATGTCATCTCGACAGACCTAGGAAGTTTCTTGTTTTGTGGCATGTTTTCGTAAACACGGATGAAGCTGTCACGATTTTCCCAAATTTTGGAAACAGATGTCCATGTTCGCGAGCGACGTTAGCTTCACTTCGAGCCCTTTCTATTAAACTAATCAAGCACACTTTCCTTTCAATCGTGAAGGCTTGCTTCTTTCGTTTCCCATTGGCCATGTTGTCAACGAGAAATGCAAATGGCGACTGAAGATGAGGTGATCTTAGTTACTGGGGATTATCCCTCCCTAACATTGCTCCAGCCACACTCACATGACTCTCAAGGAATGCCGAATTCAGGAAATATAAAGTTATGGCCCGGTTGGTAACCGAGATTGCCATTGCTGGCCTGGGCATATCTCACATTTTACTCATAAAAATCGCTGTTTCTACAAAATGCTTGCATTAAGCAATGAAATATCTACGAGCTATATTCTATACTAGCGAGTTTGTTTGCCCTTCAGCTAAAGAAACTCGCTATTGACGAGCCTTCGGCGCTCTGAGACATAATGAAATTACTAATGCATTTCAGTTTAAGGCATCCGTTTTCCATGCTCACTTCTAGTTATGCGGTCAAACTCCATTGCTCACGGGTTCAATTCCCACACCTTTGGCTTTCACACCTTAAAAACAAGGGTGTCTTAGAACATATTCTTAGTAACGCCATGTGACTTGTAGCATGAGGATCACCAAGTAACATTTGCCAATGCGTCGTTTAGTGTTCTATTGGAGTATTCAATACCTGCTTATGGCCAACACACTCTTGATTGCATATCAATCTCTAAAAAAAAAGTAGGAGTAATAGCAACCACATGAACCACACAAGCCACTTAAGTGTTTTAAAGAAGTAACTCTTTATAGACTACATTCACTGTATGGGGAGTTCTTTCACTATCTTCATATCTATATGTACGCAGAAATACATTGATGGAATCCCTTTTTCTAACTCTACCTAATGCTATATAGAGTTGACCAAGAGAAAATACTTCATTCATGAAGGCAGTTCATGGCTATTTACGTTCTTGCTTGGGTGAAGCGGGAGCACAGAAATGGCTTTAGTCTTAGCATCCTGGATTGGACATAATCACTCTAAATCGGAAAGTCGATTGAAAATCTTCCTTGCAGTTTCCCTGCAGCAAAAATATATGGAACCAATTCGTATCCACAAACATACCGGTACGCATCAGCCCATGTCCTTCTACCTATCCTACGACATAGAAAGGCTTAGGGCAAAGACCTCCCACCGCCTGCGAAGGCAGCGATTTTTCCGTTAAAATGGGCTGAAAAGGTCATCTAAACAAATGAATTGAGGTCGATGTAGGCCTGAGCGTCCATGCAAGGGTTACATATGGGCCTGCTTAATCAGTCCCTTCAGGGTACGTATCTCCATTGTCGAAATGATATCTGTAGCATGCGAACCAACAGCCTTTTGTTTTCTATCCCGCTTCCTTTGAAGAAGAGAGTCCATGAGAATGGTATTGGCGTAAGCGTGCTTCCATGGGTTAGGCCTAGGCCTTCGATATCAGCCCCCCGTGAAAATTGTCTCCAGGGCAAGTACACCCCCTTCCGAAGCAGGAATTCCTCCTGAGTGAACAACCTAGCAGTTACACACACTTCCTTCAATGACAGAGGAATGTGTGCATGCAAATGGCGTAGGCCTAAGCATCCGTCTGGGGATGCTGGGCCTCGGCTTGCAAAATCAGTGCCCCCTGAAATGTCCCCCAAGGCATTTGGAAAAATCCAAAGTTGGATTTTTCCTGAACTCTGCATCGCAATAGCTACTTCTGTATCAAGTTTCAGATTTCTAACTTCTCTAGAACATGGTTAGAATTAGCGTCAGTCAGTCAGTCAGTCACGATTGTCTATACCGTACAGGGTGTCCGTAAATGATTTTTCCGATTTTTATGTTTTTTTACTCCGACTTTGTTTTAGTAGCTGCTTTGAAATTATATGTAAGACGAACTCTGAAAGTTTGAATTTTGCGCTAGATTGCAAGTTGTGCATTCTGCCCGCTGGCAGAGCTACATTCGTCGGTACGGCACAATGGTGTCCGGGCCGGAGAAACCGTTCTGTGTCTTGGCGTTTCATATCTGTTGTTACAATGCAGACAGTTTCGACGGAAGTATGGGAAGGCTCCTCCAAGCCAGCCATCAATTCGTGCTTGGTACGAGCGTTTTGTTAGCGATGGGTGTGTGTGTAAACGCAAAAGCACCGGCAGACCGTCCGTGAGTGCTAAGCGCATTGAAACCATTCGGCAATCATTTCTACGCAGTCCCCAAACATTTGTGCGGCTTGCCAGTCGGGAACTTAACATGCCGAAAACAAGTGTCTGGCAGGTTCTTCGCAAGCGCCTTCATTTGTGGCTATATCGATTACAGATGTTGCAAAAACTGAAACCATCGGACGAAGTGAAGCGGTATGACTATGTGGTTCGAGGTATTCATGGCGCTCACATTGAACTTGATTAATGACCTTGTGTATGTCAATAAAAATGGTTAAAATTGTTCTTTTGGTTGTTATGTGTTTCCTAAGTGTAGCTTGAAGTAACGCTGAATAATAAAATATCCAAATCGGAAAAATCATTTACGGACACCCTGTACAGTATATATTAGATGTTTATGGATTTCCAAGCACTAAAATTTAATCGGCATCCTTAAGGCATGCATGCAAGTTTGCAAATGCATGTATTTCAGAAGATTCAGACTTAATAATGGAGTCATGTTCCTTCAAGGTGTAATATGGCTGTCACATATATCAAATGTCAATGTTCATTAGCTTAAATACTTTATATATTTGAGTAAAGATGAATAGAAGGTTTGGAGTCTAACGTTTGATAAATATAGGACTGTACTGAAAAAGAGTTGCCTCCATTATGAACAAATTAGGTAAGTGTCATATGCCTTTCACTAGGGAGGGATTATAAAAGCTTGGCGGATTGGCCAAGCATAAAAGCTTGGGAATATAAAAGCTGTATAAAGCTTGGCATACATTCTTCCTTCTATTTGAAATCCATATATTATTCCATTGGCCGTAATGCAGCCCCAAAACATCAGGCTGCAACCATCATATTTTTTGGTCACCATCACACGTACTCTTTCTCACGGTCCTCGCCAGGCTGGTTTCCTTTCCAATCACACCCATCCAGCCGCATCAGTTTAATTTCGTTCTCTCCTCAACACATTACACTTCGCAAGTCCTATATGGTCCAGTGTTGATGGCGTAAGCGATTCCAGCCGCTGTCGAAGGCTTGAGAGACAGGCATGTGAGGGGAACCGAAAAATATGATGGATGCAGCCTGATGTTTTGGGGCTGCATTACGGCCAATGGAATGGTATAGGGCTTTCAAATAGAAGGAACAATGGATGCCAAGCTGGGTACAAGCATCATCGAGGACGAATTGCTCCTGACAATGGAGTATTACCAGCTCATAGTGGGAGAGGTGGTGCTTAAGCAAGCCAATGATACGAATACACTCATCGCGGCTGGCTAGCCAATGACTCCAGGGCCATGGTATCGAGGTCCTCTAATAATTAGCCCAGTCGCCGGACCCCTGAGTCAATGGAGCACTTGTGGCGACACTTGAAGCGGAGGCTGGCAGGGTACAAGAATGAGCCAGCCGAGATGCAGAATGTGCGGCAGCGGGTCAGTACCGAGTGAGGCGCCATTCCAGTTCAAACATGCTTCGACCTGATCGAGAGCATGACTGGGAGTGTCCAANTTTCCGCTGGGAATACTGCGACGTACCCATGTGCCATCTTCCTCAAGGTGTGAAAATCTCTTTTCTCGAAGGCTTCCATTCTAGGTAGGTTATGGGACCCTGAACTACAGATCTCAATGATAAACCCTTATTTATTTTGTTTCTCGGGAGCGATTTTCGAGAGGCGCGCAAGATTGTGAAAAAATTGCCTGATTTCACTAGGTAGGACTTTACTTTTATTTTTTTTGTTTCGATGCAAAGTGCTAAAATCAAAATATTTTCACATAGTACTTGGAAATATTGGTTGAAAACCAAATGATAGAGGAGCAGTTTCATTGCGGAAATTCACCAAAAAAAGACAGAAATCAGGAGAAGCTATGTTCTATATATTTTTCGGCTATCATGGTAACTATATAGAAAACGACAAGGTATCGACCTGGTCGATCCTTCAGCATGTTCCTTCTCGGGCATCGGCATCAACTGCTGCAACCTATCGTTGGCCGAGAGTACCAATGGTGCAAAATCGTCAACCGATACCAGGCTGGTACCGGACATTGCATCGTTACGGCCATTTAAACAAAAATTCAAGTTGCGAAAGTGATACTGGTTTTGGTGCATCATTACTTCCGCTTCAGGCCTTCCACAAAACTAAGGCATTATTCTGCTACCTTAAAGCTCCGTATGCAAGGTCAAAGTGGAATGTCAAATACTCTCCTGAAGTGGCAGTTTCAGCTTTTTTCAATTCGCTTGCAGATTTATCATGACTTCCACGAATTTCCTTTAGGAATGTTAATTTCGCCCAAAATTATATCAAGGAAACGTGTAAGCCACACACATATACCAAAATATGATTCTTCCAAAGTAAGTAGCCACGGAAAAGGAAAATTAATGAATTCCAAAGAAGTAACTTGGCAAAGTTTTACCATGCAACTATTTCAAGTTCATCAGATGTGCCTAAAGAATATCTTTGTATTCACTAGTGCTTTCGTAGACCACCTACTTTTGTCAAATGTGGCTGTTGCAGATACACACAAATCCATTCAAACTCATCATTTTTCATTTGTTTCATTCATATTATACAATCGAGTCAATTATTCATCGCACGCATTTAAAATTACGGTTTTCTTCATAAATCCCCGAATGCCTTATTTTCTGTTACCCGTCAGAGCCGGTGGAGTGCAAATTGACAAAAGGTGGACAGGAGTATGCAGGGTTGAAGAACGAGGACGCAAACGGTTTCAAGTGTCAACCTTGGTTGAGCAAAGCATCGAACAAGAAATCCTCGCTCCAGGAATGGATGAATTTCCCTGACCAAACGATTGACAGTAGCCACAACTTCTGTCGCAATCCGACGGGGGAACTCGGCGGCCCTTGGTGCTATAATGACGAGGGCTCTGACAGAAGAGGACATTGCGAAGTTCCGTTCTGCTTTGAAGTGTATCTGCGTTCTGCTATCGACGGTATAAATTTGGGCTACTTCGTCTTCGTTTCCATGATATTTCCTTTAAATAATTGTCTCGCGAAGAAGAAATTCGGAAGATATTCTAGCATCTTGTATCCTGCAAACTTAAAATTATGTAAATGATTGAAAACGAGTATCTTTATCTATTTTACTTTTCTTGATGAAGGTTCACTTGGAATCTTAATGCTCTTCAAAACGGCAAATAATTGTTCATAGGCGATTCTGTCATTGAAATGGTTGAAATACATAGGTCAAGCAGCGAAGGGATATCCTGAATGTCTGCTCACCCTAATGGGGAGAGAATACGCGGGAACGGAGAGGAAGACCGAGACAGGGAAGACATGTCTCCAGTGGGATAAGCAGCCCCATGGAATAACTAAGGACTTTAAAAAAGAAATGTTCTATGAGGATCATTTCCGTTTTGGCAATTCTTCATTGCATGAGAACTTCTGCAGGAATCCAACTTTGAAAGAGAGACCCTGGTGCTTCGTGGAACCTCCAGATTTTTGGGAATTTTGCGACATCCCTCTTTGTCCCAACTTTACCAGTGAGTTGACTCTGAGCAACGAACTATATGGTAAGAATTTTCCATCACATGGTTAAAATCAACCGACACAATGTAATAATGAATCTTTAAAGTCAAGAAGTGCTTCCTTAAAGAGGAAATATGGAATTCCCACCGCAGCAGGGTGGGAAAAGCATCACTACGACGAGACTTACGAAACGTGGCAGCATTTTGCATTGGATTGCATGGCTAAAGAGCTAAAATGTAAAAGAGTCTCTCGTTCATGTGCATTGGAATGCGCTTTTTTTCTAACTCTCCTCTAGACAGGACGGAATGCAAGTGGACGAAGGAGGGAGAGGAATATGCAGGATCTCGAAATGTGACTGCGACAGGACGACCGTGTTTGCACTGGGAGGAATCGGCCAAAATGCATTGGATGTCTTTTCCGAAGGGAATGAGGAGAGAGAACCACAACTTCTGTCGCAATATGGAGGGGGATTCTGGTGGGCCCCACTGCATTGTAAAGACCGTTGACGATCCCTTCTTGGACATCGAATATTCTGATGTCCCTTTCTGCCCCTTCCACTATCTCCAGTGAAGGGGTCTCGTCTGTGACCTAGGCGCAATGAAAGCCTTTTAATGATTTTAAAATGTTGAATGTGTGGATATGCGTCTCCAACATGTAGGGATTTAGAGAATGGGAAAGCAATCTCATCTCCTCAAATCAACACTCAATTACTCTCGTCATATAATTAACTTAGTTAGGGTTTTATTCTCACAATCACTTTTTGCCTATCTCTTTATTCTGCTTCTTCTGAAGCACTAGCTTTCGTAGCAAGACACTTTCAGCCATGTATGTGGAATTGAGAAATGAATGCACACACTGTAAAGCAGGGTTACTCCACCTTTGAACTTCTGTCTGGATCCGAACAGCGAGTTGCCATTCTCTTCCCTCAGACTAAGGTTACCATGCGTCCGGGATTCCTCAGATATATCCGAATTTCGACTTCTTTTCGCCAGAATCTTGAGTATTCATGATATTCAGAACAGCATTTTCCAAGATTTCTTGGTCATGTCCAGAACTTGACCGTCACGTCTGCTCTCTGAAAGTATATTTCTACCTATATCAGATCAATGATAATGGGTGCAACAATTTCGAAGTTCCAGGGTCACTTAGCTCATCAAGCAGAGCTGTGCCTGCACGTACGATAACCCGCACATCAAGTGATAGCTAGATATTGAAATGTGGAACAATAGAGATTCAGGGGAGCTCGTCTCAACGCCTAAAGCAGGTGTTGCACTGGTCCGCAACGCAGGTGAGGGAAAGCAAAAGCAGCTGGTTAAACACGACTTAAGGGGGAACACTTTCACTTGTATTATATTATTGATACTAGCGAGTTTGTTTGCCCTTCTAGCATACAAGCTCATAACGAAAAAAAAAATATTCATATCAGTATTAAGAGACCAATTCTGAAGAAAATTTCAGCTTTCAATGATTAGGTTTTTCGAAGTTGCCAAAATTTAATTAAAATACTGTCAGCCCTCAATATAGCGCCACCCTCGCCAGCCGCCATCCGCAAACACATTCAATTCCAACAACGTGTCTTATTCTACGTAAGCCTCACTCGATATTGCGCTAAGCTGCATTCTGTGCCTGCCACGATCATTTCCCCGCGTGTAAAATTTATGTCCGGCCAGCTGCTCCGTACGATCTCTTGATAGATAGATAAGGTCGCCGAATCCGGCGTAATCCAGTCTCTTTTGGTATCTTCTTGATTCTTAGGTCACCTGCATTCATTGGATTTTTGTGGTACTTTTTTTTCGGAAGGACCGGAGAAAAATATCAGCGACTGCGAAGTTTGGGAAGAAAGAATTTCATCGAATGAATCATTTCATGATTTGGTGGATTTGGCGTTACCCCATGGTCCCATGATCAGCACACTACCCAGACTTTGCAGCCCATAATATATTTTTATCTGGTGCTACCTAAAAAACAATATGTACCATACAAATCCAAGGAATGCTGGTGACTTAAAGAATAAAATTTGAGACATGATCACCACCATTGAGAGAGACACATTTGCAAACAGTAATGAAAAATATTTTGTTTGATGCAGAGAGTGCAACAATCAAAATGAAGGGCATTCGGAAAAATTTTATCAGCCGAACAAAAAGCAATGCTGTGTGATTTCTGAGGGTTGGAAGAAAATTTCCTGAGTGTAGTATCTATTAAATTTTCCTAAATTTTCAGGTTGAATACATAATCCATTCTTCATTAATTAAAAAACAAATGTGTCAGAGATATGTGGGACACCCTGTGTATAGACCATCATGACTGATCGACTGACTGACTGATACTAATTCTAATTATATTCTAGATAATATGGTAGTATGAAACGTGGTACGTGGGTTACTATTAGGATGCGGAATTTAGAAAATTTCATAATTAGGAATTGGTACACGGGTTTTGGGGGGAAATGTTTTCAAGTAACTTTTTTTGCTTTAGCTAATCGGAGAGACCTAGAAAGCTGAAACTTGGCATAAATTTATATACTGAAACACAGAGTTCAGGAAAAAATGCCATGTTTGCCGTTTACAAATAATTTACTTTTAACCCTGTCGGATCCAGCAAGACGTCGTCTCTCTGCGCATATAGCGACAGGGATGTACATTACGTTTTTACCAATTCGAAAATGCAAAAAAATTAATCGCAATCTTGGATAATGGAGACGCCATCAGAGCGAATTATTTTCCCCAAAGGTCAAACAAATTCGCCAGTACGAGCAATGTCGACTATCATTTGAATTCATTCCAAAATCCAAAATTTTTCACTACGACATTCCTCCAAAATGTTCTTGAAATGGAACTAACTTTCAACTTTACCAGGCAACGCTTCTCGTGCAAACCAAAGTTCCATGTTCTTACAAAAAATTATTTGAAAATTC